GATGACGCCGCTGGCACCAAGGCAAACGCACCGCCTCGGACGCCAGGTTCGCCGTAGGGTTTCCTTTGGTCCCGGCTTCGTCTGCTTGGGCGCGTCGAGACCAAACGTTCGGATGCATCTCCTCGGAGGTCAAATTCTGATTTTGCCCTGGTCTGAAATCCAGCTGAACCCGCGCTCCGTCCCGCTGAATCCGGCTTGGTCCCGCTGAATCCGCGCTTCATCCCGCTGACTCCGCGGCCCAATCTGGCTCAGCAGCCCTTCCAAACGAACGGCGCGGCGGCACCTGCCGGCCTTTGCTCCTCGAGCAGGGCACCGCTGCCGCCGCACGGCGCCGCCGTGCCCGCCACGGCCCGCTGGCGCCAGAGGCCCGCGCGAGGCCGGGCGCCCTCGCACCGCGGCATCGGCGAGCTCGTCGAGATGCTGAATACGCTGCCATCGAAGAAGGTCCCGCGAGCGGCGAGCGCGGATGCCAGACGACCTGTCACTACTTCTACGAGCCCTGCGATTAGTACGATTACTGTTACCACCACTATAACAACTACTACTACTACTACTACTGCTACTACTACTACTACTACTACTACTACTACTACTACTACTACTACTACGACTACTGCTACTACTACTACTACTACTACTACTACCACTACGACTACTAGTACTACTACTACTACTACCACCACTACTACTACTACTACTACTACTACAAGTACAACTACTACTACCACTATTGTTATTTTCACTACAACTACTACTACTACTACTACTACTACTACTACTACTACTACTACTACTATTACTACTACTACGACTACTACGACTACTAGTACTGCTACGACTACTACTACTATTACTACTACTGCTACTACGACTACTACTACTACTACTACTACGACTACTACTACTACTACTGCTGCTACTACTACCACTTCTACTACTACCGTTGCTGCTACTACTACTTCTACGACCACGACGACTATTACGACTACCAGGACTACTACTACTACTACTACTACTACGACTACTACTACTACTACCACTACTACTACTACTACTACTAATACTACTACTACTACTACGACTACTACGACTACTACGACTACTAGTACTGCTACGACTACTACTACTAGTACTACTACTACTACTACTACTACTACTACTCCTACTACTACTACTACCACTACGTCTACTAGTACTACTGCTACTGCTACTACTACTACTACTACCACTACTACTACTACTACTACTACTACTACTACTACTACTACTACTACGAGTACCAACACTGCTACTACTACTACTGCACGACTACTACTACTACTACAGCAACTCTTCCTATTACTATTTGCACGACTACGACAACTACTACTACTACCACTACTTTCTTTACGATTATAACTACTACTACTTCTACTACTACTGCGACTACTACTATTCCGACAACTACTACTTCTACTTATATTATTACTTCCTGTACTACTAGTACTACTACGACTACTACTACGACGACTACTACTACTGCTGCTACTACTACTGCCACTAGTATTGCTACTGCTACTACCAGTACTACTAATATTAATACGACTAATACAACTACCACTACTCCTACAGTTACTACTACTACGACCACCACTACTACTACTACCGCTTCTACCACCACTAGTACTACTGACATTTTTACTATTACTACTACTACTACTACTACTACTACTACCACTACTACTACTACTACTACTACTACTACTTCTCCTACTACTACTACTACTACTACCATTACTACTGCTACTACTACTACTACTACTACTACTACTACTACTACGACTACTGGTACAATATCATTGGGAGTACCATTATTGCTACCTCTACTATTATTACTACTACCACAACAACTTATAGTATTACTACGACTACAAATTGCGACTCCTGTTTTTTGTTCCTAGTTGTACTGCCACTACTACTTTTACTTCTTCCACTACGACTACTACCACTACTACTACTACTACTACTACTATTACTACTACTACTACTACTACTACTACTACTTCTACTTATACTTCTACTTCTACTTATACTACTGCTACTGCTGCTGCTGCTGCTGCTACTACTACTACTACTACTGCGGCTACGACTACGACGTCAACTGCTACTGTTACTACGACTACTACGACTACTACGACTACTACGACTTCTACTACTACTACTACTACTACTACTACTACTACTACTACTACTACTACGACTACGACTACTACTACTACTACTACTACTACTACTACTACTACTACTACTACTACTACTACTACTACTACTGCTACTACTGCTACTACTACGACTTTCGGTAACAAATGTTCGGTGTCAGGTGAACTTGCTTAATGATTGGACGCGGGCGGGTTCAGGTTCGCTGGGAATTCATTTACGGGACGCGCTTCCCGTTGCCCAGGGACCCCATTGATCGATCTAGCGGTGGCAGGTTGAGTGTGCAAAATCACACACGGGACGCATTTCGCGTAAACTGGCGCGCCTCGGCGCGCCCTCTTTACGATTTGTTTGCCCCAACCAACCTGTGGTGTTTGCAAGAATCGCACGAAGCCGAGCTACGCTGCCAATTGTAGCCCCCCCCCCCGGTCATGGCGAAGCCTGGTCTGAATTTTGGTAGGGCCCCATTGTGCTGGCAATCCCAGCACATGTCGGACATCGGCGATGGTTTCGCAGATCAGGTCGCACGCCCCCAAAGGGCGAGGTCGAATCTGAATATGGGAAAGTCCCCAATGTGCTTGCCCCTCAGCGGCCCCCGCAAGTTGTCACTGTTTCGCAGCCCCCCCAGGGATGGACAGGTCCACTCAGCATTTGGGTAGGTATCCGCTATGCTTGCCCCCCCCCAGCAGCCTGCGAAAGTGGCGGCGATCTCGCTGATCGCAGCTGGTCCAATCTGAATATCGCTAGGGTCCCAGTGCGCTGGCCCTCCCAGCATCCCGCGAAAGTGGCGACCGTCTCGCAGGTCGCAGCCCTCTTCGGGGTGGCGAAGCCGGACGCAGGTACGAGAGAGGTACAAGACATAAGGGGAAAGAGAGAGAGAGAGATACACAAATTAGCCTGGCGAAGGACCCAACCATATGCAGTTGAGAGTACCGCAGTTGTGAATATCTTCTTCGGTGGCGCTCCCTATGGGGCCACGAGCCGTATGAGGGGTGTGCCGAAATGCGTGGCAGTGTACACAACACGAACGAAGACGATAGGTCCGAATATGAAAGCTTGAGCGCGTGCGAGTCGGATCGCGAGCGAGTCTGATTATGAATGAATCTGCGCGCGATTGATTCTATTCGCATGAATGCGTGCATGGATACGCCCAGTGTAAATGTATGTATACGACTGTGAACAGTTTGGGTCTGCGTGACTCTCGGTACTCGTGACTCTGAGCGTCGCCTCTGCAGGGGGCTTCCCTGGGAACCCCGACGGCAGCGCCCGCGCGCCGCGACGCCCATGTCGGCACGCCACACACCTGGTGTGCGGGACGCATGCGGACGGCAGCACTGGGGCCTTCGGTGGAGCTCCCTGTGGGGCCACGAAACGTGTGAGGGGTGTGCCGAAATGGGTGTGCGGGACGCATGCGGACGGCAGCCATGGGGCCTTCGGTGGAGCTCCCTATGGGGCCACGAAACGTGTGAGGGGTGTGCCGAAATGGGTGTGCGGGACGCATGCGGACGGCAGCACTGGGGCCTTCGGTGGAGCTCCCTGTGGGGCCACGAAACGTGTGAGGGGTGTGCCGAAATGGGTGTGCGGGACGCATGCGGACGGCAGCCATGGGGCCTTCGGTGGAGCTCCCTATGGGGCCACGAAACGTGTGAGGGGTGTGCCGAAATGGGTGTGCGGGACGCATGCGGACGGCAGCACTGGGGCCTTCGGTGGAGCTCCCTGTGGGGCCACGAAACGTGTGAGGGGTGTGCCGAAATGGGTGTGCGGGACGCATGCGGACGGCAGCCATGGGGCCTTCGGTGGAGCTCCCTATGGGGCCACGAAACGTGTGAGGGGTGTGCCGAAATGGGTGTGGGACGCATGCGGACGGCAGCCATGGGGCCTTCGGTGGAGCTCCCTATGGGGCCACGAAACGTGTGAGGGGTGTGCCGAAATGGGTGTGCGGGACGCATGCGGACGGCAGCACTGGGGCCTTCGGTGGAGCTCCCTGTGGGGCCACGAAACGTGTGAGGGGTGTGCCGTGTGAGGGGTGTGCCGAAATGGGTGTGCGGGACGCATGCGGACGGCAGCCATGGGGCCTTCGGTGGAGCTCCCTATGGGGCCACGAAGCGTGTGAGGGGTGTATGCGGGCCGCGGAAGCACGTGTGAGGGGTGTGCCGAAATGGGTGTGCGGGACGCATGCGGACGGCAGCATGGGGCCTTCGGTGGAGCTCCCTATGGGGCCACGAAACGTGTGAGGGGTGCGCCTGTGATGGGACGATGGGCGGCACCATGGGGCCTTCGGTGGAGCTCCCGGTGTGACGAAGTGGGTGATGACGATGACGATGACGACGATGATGATGATGATGATGATGATGCTGATGATGCTGATGATGATGATGATGATGATGATGATGCTGATGATGATGATGATGATGATGATGATGATGATGATGATGATGATGATGATGATGATGATGATGATGATGATGATGATGATGATGAGGATGATGATGAGGATGATAGGAGGGGAGAGGAGGCGGAGGAGGAGAGGAGGAGGAGACGCGGGGCACCGTCTCTTAAAAACGAGGACCCAACACCACAGGATGGTTGGGAACAAACGGATCGAGAGAGAGAGAGAAACGACAACAAAACACGAATGGAGGGGAAGGAGGAAGGAAACGCGACCACAGTGCTCCTGTTCCAAACGGCAACCCAACCAAGGCGGGTTGGGAAACAACGAAAACATCCGTTCTGGCTGTTGTTCAAAACGTCGGATTGTTTGGCTTCCCGCCCGCGAAGGCCGGCGTCTGGAGAGACGAGAGCCA